CAGAGCTCCAAAGAGCGCGCAAAACTCGTTCAGTCTTCCTCAAGCAGTAAAGTCAGGAGCAGAACAGTATGACCACTCGGCTCAGAAGCGAAAAGTTGATTATGCCTTGTACCTGCTGCCTAATTATACTCGCGCTGCGATCAGTGGCAGCTGGATGCAATCATCTCATGCCAATGTGCATTGGCTCATTTAGTTTACACTCAAAGTAGATTGGTCTCTCTAAGCGAGATCCCAATTCAACATGTGACATACCTGAAAGAGTCTGGATATGCAGTGGGGAACGTTATGCTACCTGCAACATCATCCAGCATAACTGTTTTGTCAGTGGGTCATACCTCCAAAGCCAGCGGTACCCTTTCTACCATTAGGTACCGGGATGAAATCCTCAGAGCCATTGTCAGACCTTAATCTAGTGCAGTGGGCCCTGGGTTCCCCCTGGTGCATGACAATGTCCAGCCTCATGTGGCCAGAGTGTGTAGGCAGTTTCTGGATGACGAAGGCATTGATGCCATTGACTGATCCTCATGTGTCCCCAGGACACCATCCACCTTCTCATCCGGAGCATGCCTAGAAATTGTCAGGAGTGCATACAGGCTCGCCAGGGCTGTATGAATTACACAATGTAAATCTGATACATTACTGTTATAGTGGCAATTAAGCTGCTGAGAGGAAATGGTGAAAGTCTAAACACATTGCTGAACTGAGAAAGTACCATTCTCTCCTGTCCTCTTTCTACTCTAGTCTTACCGCAGCCAAGATAGCCTACTACCAAAACAAAATCAGCAACACCTCAAATACCTGGAGACTATTCAGAACATTCTCCTCTCTTCTCTGCCATCTACCTCCTTCCACTTACCACATTCCATTATTCTCTTCCTTCTCTCCCCTTACGAAGAATGAGTTCTCAAAATTTCTCTTTGCCAGCCATCCTACAACCTGTCCCTTAGACCCTATCCCCTCCCACCTACTTTTGGAGATCTCACCAATATTGTTACCCACATCATCAACACATCCCTCACTACTGGAAAATTTCCCACCGCATTTAACAGGCTCAGGTAACCCCGCTCCTCAAAAAGCCAACACTTACCCCACAGTAGTTGAAAATTACAGACCAGTCTCTCTTCTGCTTTTTCTGTCTTAAATACTTAAAAGGGTTGTGTTCAATCAGCTCTCAGCAATTCTTTCACAGAACAACTTACTTGACAACAACCAGTCTGGCTTCAAAAGCGGACACTCCACGGAGACACACCTTTCTGCGGCCTTTGACATTGTTAACCACAAGATCCTTCTGGCCACCCTCTTTGACTTGGGCATCACAGGTATGGTACTTCAGTGGTTTCAGTCATACCTCACTGGCAGATCTTTCAGAGGAGGGGTGTCTAAGTCACACCAGCTAATCACTGGGGTGTCTCAAGGTTCAGTGCTTGCTCCTCTTCTTTTCTCCATTTACACAACCTCTGGGCACGAACATAAAGGCACATGGCTTCTCCTACCACTGCTATGCAGATGATGCACAGCTCTATCTTTAATTTAAACCTGATGATCATGCTGTCTCAGCTCATATCTCCGCCTTCCTTTCAGCCATCTCTACTTGGATGAAGGATGAAGGAAGACAGAGCTCCTTTAATCCCTGCATACCCATCAGTTGACCACAACATCATTGTGGAACTTGGATTTACGACACTAACACAAACCAGGACAGCAAGGGACCTGGGGGTAGTGTTTTGATGACCAGCTGAGGTTTTCCACCCATAACTCAACAAAGTCCCGGTCGTGCAGGTTTGCGTTTTACAACATCAGGAAAATCAGTCCCTTCATGTCAGAATATGTGGCACAGCTACTACAATTTCAAGACTGGACTACTGTAATGCTCCACTGGTGGACCTTCCAACCAGCTCAACTAAGCCTTTGCAGATGATTCAGAACATGGCAGCACGTCTAGTCCTCACTTAGCCAATGAGGTCCCATGTCACACCTCTCCTGATCTCACTCCACTTGCTCCCAGTTGTGGCCAGAATCAAATTTAAAGTTCTGATGCTGATGGCTTTTAGGACTGGAACAGATCC